TTGACAATCTCGATAACAGTTGAAATTTTTTTTTATTATATAAAACATTTCGTATCTAAAAATTCATTGAATTATTCATTAATTTAAATTTGAATTGAGTAAAATCTGACAGAGGATAAAATTCTCTTTACAAATTTTAATAAAATTGTATTCTCAAAATTTGAAATTAAGATTTTTGATTAAGGTGAAGGAATCATTCGCCAAGTCATCTTTGCTCATGTGTGATAACAGTTGAATCTTGACAAATTTCTTGTGTATTGTTTTTCAGGTAAACAACAGTCTCTTTGTGGTTGTGGTTATTGCCACAACTCAATTGTTAAAAGGTATTAAAATTGTATTAAAAAATATTTATTTTATATAATTTAGTTATTAAAGTAATTAATTATTAATAAAATAATTAATATTTATTATTTAATAAATTAAAATTAATTTATAAGTTAAAATTTTTAAATATTATAATAATTTATTAAAAAGTTATAAAAATCAGCTAAATAAAATGTAATTTTAATCAAAGACCTAAATAATTTAGTAATCATTTTCTTCCGTTGGAAATAAAAACTTCTGAGTTCGAGTTACATAACATGCAAGTGTGTTGTGATAAGAGATAAGAGATTGTTATCTTCCATTATGCAACAAAAATAAAAAAAAAATTGTAATTTTAATAACCTTAACAATTGAGTTGGTAGTCATAACCATACCTATCTCTTAGAGTTAAATTTGTGATTGTTTAAATGAAATGCTATAATTAATATTTTGTGCTGTTATAAAATTAGTTTATTTTTATTTAGAAATATATTCATAATATTATATTTATTTATTTAATGTCATATAATATTTGTTTAATATCATATTATAACTATAAATTATGTCATTTTATACTTATTTAATATTATATCACAATTATAAATTTACAATTTCACCTTTGTCATTGTCCTAATAGAAGTTTCTTACTTTACCATTTTAACACTAAATATGAACAATTAGATGAGAAATAACAATATTAACAATTTTAGTAAGTTGATAATAATTTCCTTCTATTGAAAGTATACCTTTTGTTAAAAGTTAAGGATCATGAGTTTAAATCGAATAATATTTAGATGAAATTGATTAAAGGAATGAAAGAGAATTATCTTTCATTACATGACACAAAATTAATATAAAAACACTTAATAATAAATCATAAATAAAAAAATAAATTGGGTTAAAAAATCCCATATAAAAAAAATACAATATAAAATTAGATTAAACAGTAAACCAGCATGTGTCCTAGAAATTTACCTCGCAAGCTTTTTTTTTTAATACCTCGGTAACTTTATTAAATGCTTTGAAGAAGAAAAAAAAAAACACTTTTACC